TAGTTAACAAAATATAAAATAACACATATATTATACAGTGTTGATTTTTCACCACTAGAGGGAAGCAGCTACTGGGCTATACTGACGCCGATCTCGCTAACAAAGGAGGGTACGATCTAGTCCATTTTGATGACTTAGCCTATTTAGCAAACGCCCATCAAGAACGTAAGTTTGTGAATAGGATGAAGTTTAATTACGTAATCTAAAGATAGCAATCATTACATATAAATATTGAGAAGAACTGTCAGACAGCTAATGGTTAAAAGAGTTTAAAATTTTTAGACATGCATTTACATTAAGTAAGGTCCAGCCGCCTATCGCATTGCAATGTTGAAACAGGGAACGTAGGCAGAAATCTATAACTTAGTATAAGGAAAAATGCTACTTTTGAAAGAAAAAGGAACTAAGTAGTAATAGGTCCGACCCTAGGAGCCTGCTCTGTCGAAAAAAAAATGTAATTTTCATTGGATAGGGTACATTTTGATGGTATCTGAGGCTGTTTTGACACCTTTAAATAAGTGTTATATATTAATATGGGTTCAATTTACATGGGTAATAAAATAGCAGCAACTATCAAAATTAAGTCGAGACCTGTACGTTTCATTTTATTTGACAGCTCAGTTATCATTCTTACTGCTTGATTAGAATTGTAGCTAGACTTCTTAATAATATGTCTTTCTTTACAAGATGGAGTGTCCCTAGTTCTTGATAAGATAATTAAATCTTCTAAACTTCGAATCTGGTCTTAAAGGTTTGGAATCTTGTTCAGATGATAAACTGGTTGCTCGTAATTTGGAAGAAAAAAAAAAGAATTGAAGCAAAAAAATGTCTAATTTAAAAAATAACGGGAAACTTTTTGTACAAAAGAAGGATAGGTCGATAGCTCAATAAAGTCTAAAACTAATGAATAGATAAAAGACATAAAATAAAAAAATCAATAAAAGGTTACAGAGTGAAAATAAAAAGACACGAGGTCAACAAGCTTGCAGGTTTGTGGAACCATACTAGAGTTATCTCTAATTAGGAAATTCCCGAAATAGTTCTCATGTTGGTCGGTTACTAAGTCATCTGCGTAAAGAAATCTATCTCTTTGAAGCAGGATTTTAATCAAATGTCATCTTCTCGATTCTGTAGATTCTTGATAGCTTATCAGTTATATTGTCCCTTGCCAAAAATTTATGACACCGCTGAACTCAAAACAAGATAGTTTGAAATCATTCCATTAGAACTTTTTTTGTCATCAAAGGGACCTCTTTGATTCTAATTACCTGAATACTTTACATCCAATTAACTTTAGATTTCATTCTTTTCACTAAACATTTGTTGTAAAGGGGGCTCACAACAGGAGAAATTTGCCCGGTTAAAAAAAAAAATACAGGACATAATATTTGTAGTTTGTGTAGTTCGATAATTACAGAAGAACAAAAAAAACCTTATTTCTTTCTGAACAGTTACATGTTTTCATGTCTAGTAAGCAGTGCAAGAACTTGTAACTGTGATTACAGAAAACCAAATCTTGTTAAGCAATCACTTAAGGATAAAACGCTGAAATAACAAACATATTCTAAATCGAATACAGTGTCCCATCCGAGATTCCTTTTTTTTTCATAGTTATAACTTTTAAAATGCTGTCATATATTTGTGAGTTTTAGTATTAAACTAATTTCCTTGTGATATATATCAGATACAGCTTGACGAACTGACGTGATTATTTCTTCATAAAGAACCAGTGATAAGTTTTAAAAATTAAAACCAAAAACCCACTTTTCTGACGACAAACAGAAATATCATAAAATAAGTTTACTGTTGTGAGTGTTGCATTAACAATTGAAAAGTCGTTAAAATGTTACAAGTTTACTTAAAAACCTTAGCTTTATAAAAAAAAAGGGAATTAGTCTTATGTATTGTTTATTACAGTGTTGAAGACTGGTGCTTCTGGGTTAATAGCCTATCGTCTTCTGACTAAGGATTTCAAATGGCAGTGGTTGCAGAGTAGTGCTCGCCTAGTGTACAAAAACAGTAAACCTGATTTTATTCTGTGCACCCACAGACCTCTTCTGTAAGTTCACGTACAAATGATTACTTACTGACGCTAATCATGATAAATAAATTATCAACCAAATGACTGTAGCCGCTATTGATGTATAATAGCGATCGCAAGGATATATCTGCTAGCGCCATCTTAAGACTTTTTATGTAACTACATAAAATTACTCGAATGTAGATCATATATTATTGTTATTGTTTTAACTTTTTTTTTTGTTGCCGCTTCCAATTTTTACGACAATTTTCCTTTTTTTGTAATTGTTTGAAACCTCTCTTACAGCCTTGTATATGGTTATTGAAAATTGTTGTAAATCCATAATATATTTTATTAGAATACTAGCTGGTATACCCGTCCCCTGGATGGAAGTTACGTAAATTC